AAGGTGCTGATCTTTGTATTCCTAATCTTTGGTGGAGTCATACACTTGTATTTTATAGCTGGATGTTTCCTCTGAATGACTGACTTGTCTGTTCAATTGCTTATCTGGCGTCTTCATTCAGACATCCTACAGGCATCTCAAACTCAAGTAATCTGGAAGTCTTTTCTTCCAAACTTGCTTTCCTACACTGCCTTCCAAGTCTCAGTAGACAGCAACCTCACAGTTGCTTAGTTTCTCAGGTCTAAATACTTCTCACATTTCAAATCCATTCCATAATTCCATAAGCAAATCTTATTAGCTTCCTTCTAAATTTACTCGGCAGCTAACCTTCCACAATTACCTGCATTATTGCAATAGCCTAAGTGGTCTTCCTGATTTCACCCTTCTTGCTCCTCAGCCACCCTTCACATCTATTAACATATACAGCAGCTGAAATAGTCTTATTTTATTAAGAAAAATTTCAAACATAGAGCAACATTGAATGAATTTTGCAGTGATCCAACAGGTACCCACTACCTTGATTCTACCACTAATGAAAGTCTTCCTATAAATAAATGACAAGTTGTCCTTCTGAGGACAAAAGGCAAAGACCCTGTAGAGAAGAAATAAAAACACAGAAAAGTGCCAAAATTGCCTCTTATCACTGTACCTTAAAGTATATTTTCATAATAAAATTCCGAAAGCAAAATGAAATCTGCTCAAAATTCTTCAATAGCTTACCTCCAGGAGGAAAGATGAATTTCTTACTATGGTCTACAAGACACAGTACAATCTAGTCCCTACTCTTTCTTCTTGTCAGTTACTCCTGACAGTTACAGGCACACTGGTCTCCTTGTTGCTCTTTGACAAGAACATTCTTGCTTTAGGGCCTTTGCATTTGCTGTCGCTTTGCTTAGGGTGCTCTTTTCCCAAGTTTGCATCATCAATACTAATTGTGTATTGTCTTTAAGATCCTCAGCGAGGGCAGATATTTGGCCCACCACTTAGCACTTAATGTGCAGGATAGTATTTGGCCTACAGCAGGAACTTAGTACATATTATTTAAAGAATGAATTCTTCACTGAAGCTAGTGATCTTTCAAAAACTCCCAATCTAGGGCCCTCCCAGGTGGTGCAACAGGTTAAAGCCCAGAAAAATGAAGCTGGCCACAGCTGCCTCAGCATGAGTTCTTTCTCTTTATTTCTTGGGACTCTGTTGGCTCCACCATGAGACTTTTTATCTGTTCTTCCTTGTTCATTCCATTTTTGCACTTAGTTCACTCTGAGGCAGTTTTATATTTTGGCTCAAAGCATTTCTTATGAGAAGCTATTTCTGGCTTAGAATCAGTGCCTTAATGCTCTCATTTACCATATAACCTACCCCTAATACCTATTTGAACTGCAGTTACTTTTGTGAGGTAATTCCTCTTCCACACAAAACAGAAAATTTTATAAGAGAAGGAAACAGTTTCTATTTTATTTCCCTAGCATCTGGGAGTTATCTGGCACATATGTGAATTTACTACTCATCTAAAAATAGATCCTGTTGTGTCCCTGTGTTACTAGGACCTAACTGGGTGCCTGATAGACAGTAGGTGAATAATAATTTGCTAAATGAGCTATAATATGAAGGGTGTCTGATTACTCACTTATAATGAGTACATTATGCAGAAGCCTATCACTTGATTAGCTGTGATTAGGTATTTATACTTAATACCTATATAAGATCCCAAGTTCTCCCTTCATCAACCTTTTCTCAGCACTATGACTTTAGAAAGTGATTTATATGTACTTCAGGGTGAGCTGCTCTGGCTGGGAAAAATCCATGCAGAGTCAGAATTAGCCAAAAGTGAGATTTAGCATCCTAGTCAACAGACCTCAGGATTCTGATTTGTATACTTCAATGTTCAGGAAAACCTTTTTTTTTTCCTCCAAATGAGTACCTTTGCATTCTTTTCCCATTGACATTCATAGCAATTTCTTTGAAAAGAAATCAGCGATCAAAGGGCATCTTAAGATACACACATACACAGGTTGTATTAATGTATAGGTTTATTAAGGCAGGATGGCATGGAACAGTATACGTAGAAACAGCAAAAATCTTACAAATTAATCAATTTTAGCATGTTGACCCTTAGAACTTTTTTAAGTAAACTAGTAATTACAGATGAGGCCCACACACACTTATTGACTATCAATTTAGAAAAGAGACAAACGAAAAAACAATAGAAATAAATTATTTCAAAATAGTAAATATTTTTTAAACAATGAAACAGAAAAAGCTAAAATGCTAAAGAAGAGAGAAAGATCTCAATTTCCTAGTTTTAACAATGTAGGATAGGTATGTAAAAATGCTATCCATGAAGAAACTGGGTGAAGGGTGTACAATGCTCTGCACTTCTTTTACAAGTTTCAACATGGAAAAAAAAAGGCAAATCTAGGTAAGAAACTTTACAAAGAAAAACAAGTTTAAGACAAATATTCATAACCTAACATTATTGTAAAGAGCTAACCAAAAATGCTTCCAAACTCAGGCACACATTTTATTAATAAAAATATTAGGCTCGGAAAAGAAGTATCCCATTTTTAATGTTTGAACTCACAATGTTTTCCAGAGATGTATACAGAGTGGAACATAATACTGTTTGCAAAAGATAACTTAATTTTGTGAAAGCCACAAAAATGAGTGTTAGTTCTTAAAAAGGAAAATTTTTATTTCCTGACATCATCAAAGAAAAATGTGAAGGGTCTTATGTGAAAGTTACAAATATGTACAAACCCTATCACCTCATCTCTCAAAACTGTATAAATACTTACAGCATTTTCCTTCATCTATTAATATGTCCCTAGAGCAGCCAGCCCACACAGACCGGGGGCACTCACACATCAGAACATTCCAGAAAGATGTGGGATCATATTTTTTGTCAGGAAAAAAAAAATCACTAATGTGCAGGGAAAGCCTGTAAGGTAGCCAGAGAGACACATTTAATCAGGACCCCCTTATAATGACATTTTGGTATCATACTTTCTAGCTTTCTTTTGGGAGTGTTCAAAAGATATGTGACATATGAATTCTTAAAACAAGTGGAGTGGCATGTTAGTGCCAAACAGAGGGCAAACATCCAGTAGAAGGATAAGGAAAAACAGAAAATTTCCAAATTTGTGGCATATCATGCTTTGTTAAAGTATATTTTCATAATAAGATTATAAAGGCAAAACATGGAAATCTATTCACATGGAAATCTGTTCACTCATATTTTCCTCTAAAATACCAAAGTACAACACAGTGAAGTAAAAGGGGATTTAGGATAAGAAAGACCTGAATTCAAATTCTGCTCTTTCAGCTTTAGTTTTGTTACAATGTTATAATCTCTTTGAATTTCACTGTCTGTACTACTATCATGGGTATAACAATCCCATTATAAGTTACCTATCTCAAGGTAGGTTCTAGTGGGGCAGTACATTTAAGTGCCTACCTAGTATGAGGCTGGCAGTGCTAACACTAGGTTCTCTGAGTCTAAGCTCCCTACCAGTTTTCCAGTGAGAAAATATTTCTTCTGTTAGTTTGGTGTAAGAAAAAACAAGAGGTTAGAGATTAAAGTAAAAAGAGCACGAGACCCCCATTCTAATATTATCCAAACAACTTTCCATCAATTAGGCAATTATATAAACTAATATTCAATACATGTTATTAGGTTTATTAGTATTGAGCAATATGCTATTTACTACCCAGATAGGTCCTATCTCTTGCAAGTCAGCTTTTTTTATTGTTTTTAATGGTTCAACAAAATGTCATTGACCCTTTTACTCACTGTAACACAGCATGGCCTTTGGGGCAGATTTAGTTACTCTTGATCTCAAGTAAAAAGCAAAGTTTTAATGTTTACTCATGGATCATGAAAAGAGAAATAGTGAAGTTTATTAAAAACTGAGCGTAGGATAATTCTCCCTGTGATGAAACATCTGTTGATGTCACACTGTCTAGAGATCAAAGTTCCTTAATTCATACCTTGAACCTTCCCTATCAGTGCCACAGTCCCAGCCCCCCAGCGAACTCTAAAGGGTTAGCAAGCCTTTTGAATTGCTGAGCAGCAGAAACAGCTCCTACGTAGACTGTAGAGATAGGTTCTTAACGTGGAATTTGTGGAATTATTGAGAGGGTTCTGGAACCTACCGTTCCTGTGTGTAAAGTTGTGTTTATGTTTTGTGCCAGTTTCTTAGGAAACTCATCAACTATCACTTCCTCTTGGAGGTCTTCCCCATCTCTACCATGCCAGAGAGGTCTCGCCCACATAAGCTCTCTCATCACTTTAGTGTATTTCCTGCAGAGTTTTACCACAACCTGTCATTAACGTGTCTGTCTGCTTAAATCCGTCTACCCCACTAGAAGGTAAGTTCCCCAACAGCAGAACCCTGCCCCTTCTCCAGAGCCTGGAACCTGGTGGGTTCAGACACACTACAGTAACGAAGGACTGGTCCGTATCTAATCAGATGTTTCACGGGGGCTCTACTCCAGCCAACCTCCCATTTTGTCCTTAGCATTCTTCTCGGGAAATCATTTTGAAATCTCTCGTTTTCACTTTGGAAATAAGGCTTTGTAGCATTTCAACCACACCCACTCACCCTCGCCACTCGTTTCCAGTGGTCGGTACTCCATTTCGGCCCACTAGTCCCTGCAGCTTACACCGGCTAAGGCAGCCCCGGGTCACATTCCCAGCGAGGTCCTGAGGTCGGAGGGGCCAGACCCGCCTCGCGGAGCCTGGCCTGGGGGCCCGGGGCTCCGCCCCACCCACGGTCGCGCCCCGCGGCCTGCTCCCCAGCACAGCCCCGGCAGCTCTCGGTGGCGGAAGGTGCTCCCGGGGGGCGAGCACTCCCCGCCCCACAGCCGGGGGCACCCGTTCCAGTCAGCACAAGAAGGGTCTCGCCGCGCGCATCGTTCCCGGGCCGGGGCGGCCACAACTGCTTCCGGGTGAGCGGGTCGCCGACCCGTGGCCCCGCCCCTCCGCCTTCTCCGCCTGCGGCTCGGGCTGCGGCTCCTCCCGGGGGCTGGTTCCCGCTGTCTCTGCCGCGGTGCGGAGGGGACACCGGCGTGACTGACGGACCGGCTGCCCGCGCCGGGAGCCGCCGCGTCCAGTCCGGTCCGCCTGGCCGGGCACCCGGGACCGAGTCCGTCCTCCGCGCCCCTCGCGCTGCGCCCCCGGCTCTCGCCCCTCGCTCTTCGCCCGGGGAAGAGGCGCTCTGGCCCTTCCCGGGCGGCGCCGCAGCCACAGCGCGCTCCCAGAAACAGGTAAGGGCCGCTCCTACGGCCGGCGGGTGGAGCGGGGAGCCCGTCCCCTCCCTGGTCTCTGCAGCCGGCTGCGCTCCGCGCTGCTGATGACCCTAAGTGGGGGGGCCGGGCTTCCCTGGGGTCGGCCTGGCCCCCAGCGGGCGCGAGGCACCGGGGTCGCCCCCTGCCTGCCTGCGGCGTTCTGGGACTTTGGGGCTGGGTTGCCGACGCGCACCCCCGGTTCGCGCGAGGATGTTGCTTCCATTGTAGGAGAAATTAAACTGGGCCGCTGTCCCTCTGCCTCGGGTGCTCCAAGCTCCTTCTCTCCTCCCCAGATGCAACTCTCCTCGGTTCTGTCCCCACAGGAGTTCCCCCGGGAATGGTGTCCGGAGGGTGGAGGACTTGGCATTTTGATGGCATTATTTTTTCTTCTTCCTTGACCCGAAGTGAAACTCGGGAATAACAGGCACTAGAAAGGAGTGTCAGGGTTAATGCTTGACTAATACGGGGTGTTATTCACACCCACATTGTTAAGTTATATAGCTCCATTCAGGCCTTTTCTCTTGCCCGTAGTTAGTTATCCAGCAGGAAGGAGTAGATCTAAGGAGACCCACTTGGTTTTCTTTCTTTCTTTTTTTAAACGGGGGAAGGAGTTCACGCATTTGCTCTACTTCTTCCACCGTGGGAGATAAAAACATCAGGCTGCTGAGACATGACTAGGAATATAGTGTGTCCTAAACTTTAACTGTAGCTTATTTTGGGTTTTTAATTTAGTGACTCAGCAACTCCGCTGTAAAGAAAGGAACTGTAGAGCAGGCTAATTTGCCTGCTATATGAAAGATAATAGAGTGGCATTCCTATTTTTTTCTTTTATGTTATCACAACTGGAAGAGAATGTGCAGCAGTGGAACCAGGGAGATGGAGAGCAGGGTATATATAGATGGATGAATTCTTAACCAGTGTTTAAAATAACACATTATGTTTTCAGAATAACAGTTCATTCTGGGGATGAATCTTTATGTAAAAGTGTAGTTGTTGGAGTTTTTAAGTATTGCAGTAAGAGTTATTTAGTTTGCAGAGACTTGAGGTTTGCTGTGGTTTAAAAGTGATGCAAAAATTAACCCTATTTAACCAACACCAAGCTGTGTTTAACATTTGTAGAGCCGTTGACCTAGTATTCATTACCAAAGAATAAGAATTTTGAAAAATGTGATTCATTTAGGAAGTTAGGTCATTCATTTCATGAATCATTGATATGGATCTTAAAAATTGGAATAGAAAAAAGTTAGAAATTTGTTGCTGCCTGTATAATTAGATGCCTTCACACATTTTATAAGAAGTGTTGTGTTATGTTTTGTCAGTTTGCTATTTGATATTTATTGCTGTGAAGTATGGTTAAGGAGTAAAAATTGAACAGTAGCAAAAAGTTCGGATTTAGAATATAGTTCTTAAGTGGATAATTGTGATCTTACCCATTTTTTGGTGGGGAGATAAATCAAGAATTTTGAAACAAAAAAAATAAATGTCAGTGAATAGAATAGCTGTCATGATTAAGATCTGACAGAGGTCACAGAAAAATCTGCAGTATTCAAAACCTTTTTTTTTTTTAATGAAAGCCCTCATCCATTTGGTGACTCTATCTTAAAAGTGTGGCATAAGATAACAATGTAGTATTATTAGTTAAGTTCTGTTATAGAGGAAAGTGTATATTGAATTTGTGATTAGTGGAGTGAATTCATATTAAACTAGAAATAACCATTGCTAAAATGTAATTTGATCATTTTGGCTTTTAAAATGTTACGCTAAATAACTTTGACTTGTAGCATTCTTGATATTCTTAGCTTTGTTTTTAGAATTAAGCTGATTTTACTTTGATTTTCATTTATAGAGACCTTTAGTTTGTTAACTATCTGTTATAAAGTAATGGTATGTTTATTCTGTTGGTCTTGCTTGCCAAGTTCCTTTAATTCTTTACTAAATTTTCGCATCTTATTTCCTTGGTCATCCATTTTTATACTCAGTGTTTCCTAAAGTTGATTTTGATTTTGTCCAGCTAATGGTGACTTAAGAGTTTCAGTTTTCAGTGAACAGGGATTCCCGTCTGGAAAATCCCTTGTCATATCACATAACAGACAATCTTGATGGGTAAGTATACAAGAGGCAAGGTCAGGATTTGAGCATCCCCATAATGGAAGAAAAAGCAACATGGACAGTTTATTTGGCAAAGTAGATTCTCTATTAACAAAAGCAAATCTTTACTAGAAATGAGAGGGAGTGTCTTGCCAAGCTGTCTCTCTGAATTGTTTAGCCTGCTTTGGGTGGGAAAAGAAAGCATTTATGATATATAGAGAAAATTAATTTTCCCTGCAGTGTGCTGGGAATATTGATGAGAGTCATTTATGAAGAGAAAAATTCTTTTTTCCTCACCATAAGAGCACTGTGTATTTGCACCTACAAATTAGAGGCCATTTCATAGCCTTTCCCTTTAGGTAGTTGCTTCCTCTTTGGAGAATGGAAGTTAGTTCTTTAACTGGGAAAACATAATATCTTTTCCAGTTTGCAAATAAGGAATAGACACTATATTCATCATTCAAAACTCAACTTAAAAACTTCAGTAGGATGGAAATTTTATCCCTGAGTAAAACAACTTTGCCTTAGTCTCTGATTTTCTCTCTTAGATAACAGATAAGATACCTTTAAAAATTTTATATATATTTTTATTATTGCACATTGCATTTTCACTTTTAAAACATTTTGGTCTACAGTAAATTAGGTGAGATTTAAAAAGAATCAATTGGCTAAAAACTGATATTATACTTTTCATTTGTTCTATTTTTAAATTTATTTGGGTCCAGGGACTTCTGTTTCTTGGAGAAACTCAAATTTGCTACATTTGTGTGCTTTTGTTTTGGTCTGATGGTAGGAAGAGTAGTTAAGGGTAGCAATGGTTAAGAAAAGGGAAGAGACATATATAGGAGAATGCTACTTCCTGGGTTGTAGATATTTGTGGAGTTTTTAAAAATTGATAATCTTTTAAAAGGCATGTTGTGTGGTGAAAAGAAATCTCCTTTTCATAATAAACTTCTGGCCAATTGATTCTTTCCCCCTTGTCTTCCTCTGTCCTCTAATCCAAGCACTACTATATTAATGGTTTCCTGTGTATTCCTCTCTAAAATTTTCTATTATGTGTTAATCACATGTGTTTAGAAGAGATGTGCCTTATACTTTCCCTTCTCTTTGATATACATATCTTGCTGATCTTTTTATATTAGCATGTTTGTTCATCTAGTTTTTTTTTTTTTTAACTGGATGTTCTTAAGAGGGTAGATAACTCATAATTTATTTTATCCCCCTCATTTAATTTACCTTTTACTGTTAACATTTAAGTTGTTTTTAGCTTTCTGCAAATGCTGATATAATGAACAACTCATAAATCTTTGCCTTAGTCCATTGTATATAGCCTCTGTTTTGCAGTGTGGATGTGAAATTGGGACATTTATTTCAATCTTTTTTTGAACTTTATAATAGAAGTTAACTTACTAAACTTGTGGAAGGTGAAAGGAAATTTTAATTACTTTGTAGTCCTTTTCTTCTCCATTATAAAAGTATTGCAGGTGTATTTTAGAAGGGAGTTTAAAACATTTTAGTGATACAGTTAATTTATTTGTGAAGGGTAAAAATATTGTAACTTAAAAACTGGTACTGTGTTAGACAAATTGCTTGATTTATATTTGGTAATAGTTAAATACTTTTTGTAGTAGGTTTTATGACCAGTATCAATTAAAAACATTGTATATAATTGCATATACAATGTTAAATACCTTGCCCTCTGATATCTGCTACTATATTATTAGTTACAAGGGAAATAAATAGTCCACCTTGTTTCTTCTTCCTTTGACTTCCGTGTCCTAGTCTACCTCATACTAAAATAAACCTCTATGGAGTTTGAGATCCAAAAATCCTATTACAAACCAGTGCTATGATGAGTTAATTTTCCATTGCAAAGATAGGTACAGATTTAGTCTTTATTCTTCAAAGTATTGTGAGCAGAATAAGAAGGGTCTAATTTTTTTCCCATTTTTAAAATTATTTTATTATAATAGTTTATTTTTACACCATTTTGTGCCTTTTTCCAATCTCAGTTGTAATCCCCATGGACTTCCTATCAGGAGTTCAGCCTCACCATAGTCCTGTGCACTTTCCTCCCCCCCCATTTTTGATCCCATCCCCCACTCCAACCCCATAAAATGTCTCTGGTATTTAGTTGTTCATTATTGTTATTTTCCCCCATCCCCATCTTCACTCACCCTCCCCCCCCCCCAGATCCTTTATGCTCCTGCTATGAGTGAAACCATCCAGTATTTTTCTTTTTCTTTCTGGCTTATTTCACTAAGCATGATCAGAGGGTCTAATTTTTTAATTTCAATACTATACTTGTGACCGGGAGGAGATTCAGGAATCTTTGCCCTTTTAAAGTGAGAGACTAGAGCAAAAAAAGTACTGAGGGGCTAAGGTATGATGATGACGTTGGAACTTTTGAGTAGCAGTTCCCCTGGCTGATGGCCAGGGTCTATTTTGAGACCTTGTCAAAGTTTGCCTGACAGAACCTACCACATAATTGTAATCTGTCCTGGCCCTGCTGCAAGTCAGGAAGGCCTGTGGTCTAGGGAAAGTGGCAGCTATGGAAGAAGGAGCTTGTGAAGGACATTTGCCTTTGGAAGATTAAGGCTAAGTTTTGGGATGAAAGTCTGCTTTCGTTTACATATCCGAGGACCCAGTTTTTAGTCTTCCTTTTTGAAATAAAGAGTATGATTAAGGGAAACTGATAAAGTATTTAAAAAAATTGTATGAGGAGGAGCACAGGATTATACTACTGTTGATGCTCTGTTCTGGTTCTGAGTGTTTGCCAAGGACCAGTCAATTATTTTATAACAATTATTTTATAGCACTGTGAGTTCATACCCCTAAGTGGAATAAAAAGCCACAGTTGGAATGATGGACTGTTTTATGTCATTATTTTG